CAAGATGGGTGAGGTGATATCTTTTATTGGACCAACTTCTGTTGGTGAGAGAGACAAGTTTTCGAGCCACACAGAGCTCTTCTTCAGGTCTGGGAAAGGAACTCCCAGAGTCACAGCAAAATGAAAGGTGGAACAGATTGTTTAGAGTAAGTAGTGAGCACATATTGGAAGGGACCATTGAAGATAGAGTGACCTGTTAACACCTCTGCAGTCATCAGACAAAAAGAGGGCATTAGTGGGTTACAGATTGTTGTAATAAGCCATAAATCCAGTGTCTCTGTTCAGTCCATGATATTAAGACTATGTCTATAATGTGCAGCTTACAGTGGCACAGCTGTAAGGTATGCAATGTAGCTGCTCTTTGTTGGCAGGAGAGAGGTCTCCTGATGACAAAATAAAACCATCCCCAATAAGGGGCGGTAGCTTTGTTGGTAGGAGAGCGTCTTCTGCCGACAAAGTGCTGTTCACACCAGGACTTCTCGTCCGTAAAACTTTTGTTGGTTGGGGTGTGTTTTTTCACACCCCCGAGCAACAAAAATTTTACCAATGAAAGTGCAGAGTAGATGTAGCTTTAGTGTTAAGCAGAATCATGAATTTATACTCCCAGGCTCGTCTTTTGACAGTGTTGTGCAGGTTTCCTTTGACGATGAGTACTGACAGGTCAGATATAGAGTTAGCACTTAGTGAAAAGTGTTCACCATCAGGTGATGATATGTTTTTTTTCTATCATTTTTCTCTGTGAGTTTGAGAGCATAGTGACTGTCTGGTTTCATCCATCTAGTTGTTGTTGGGGCATGTAGTGCACTGGACGAGGTATACCACTGGGACGGGGTCCTCAGGGTACAACCTGGACTGTGGGCCTGGTGAGCCCCCTGTCCCACCAACCTGGGGTATTCCTCTCTCATTGTGATGCTGTTCTCATCTGATAGGCACTGCACTTACACACACTGTGATACATGATGATATCCCTGCCACTCATGAACCATTAAGAGGGAGACTCCAGCCAATTTCCCCCAGCTCCCCATTCTTGCACTCCAGAACTGTGCCATCTTGCAGTGGAGAGAAGCCTGGCCAGTGTAAGTTCATTATCCAGTTTGCTCCTCCCTTGTTGTGGAAAGGACACACACTAGCCTTTGTAAACTGAGCTGAGATTTCCCAAGCACTTCAACCAAAACACACTCTTTTAGGTAAAATATAAAACAGGTTTATTAACTATAGAAACATAAATGGAAAGTGATTACAAGTAGCAGGCGTAGAGATCAGAGTTGGTTACTTAAGAAACAAAAAATAAATTTGCAGTGTAAGTTCTACAAACTAAACAGGATTTGAATCAAGCAGTGTCTCACCCTGATAGATAGTACAAGCAGGTTACAGATCTTCAATACACAGCCTGGGACCACACTCCCCCAGTTCAAAGTTTTTGTCTTCCAGACATTCCTACAGGTGTTGAGTTTGGGGAGGGAGAGGCCAAGTGATGATGTCAGTTCCCCTCTTTTATATGTTCTTCCAGCTTGCTGGAAAGATCTTTTTGCTGTGACATGGGGATTACGCAGTCTCTATTATCTATGTGCTCCCTCTGATAAGTCTCTGGGATGGCCCTTGGGAGAGTGGATTCCAGTGTTGTGCCTGACAGGCTGATTGTGGGTGTTTCCAACCTCACAACATATTTCAGTGACGTATACAGCACTACTTCATACATTTCCATATAATGATAGCACACATAATCAAACAGGATATTAATGTTCAGCAGATCAAGACTTTTCAAATGATATCCCATAAAGCATGCATTGTACCAAACATATCCTAATCATATCATAGTGGTGAATATGGGAGTTCCATGGTGTTATTTTAAGGTATTGAATGTCACAGCCATGTGCTGGGATAGGCATGTGTAGGATCCATTGAAATTGAAAGGTGTGTTGTGCGGGGGAGGAGGTTGATCATTGTAGCAGTGGAGATATGTCTGCAAGCTTTGCATCTGTTCTTCTGGTGGGGTCTGGTGCTGCTTCAAGTTGGTGTGTCATGGTCTGTGAGAAGCTTGCTTCTGATAATGAGCATGGAGAGGTTGGGGCGAGGGGGAGGTGAAGGCCAGAAGTCAGGGTCCAGGAAAGATTTCTTTCAGGTTGGGATCCCCACTGAGTATGGGTTTTAGTTATCTGATACCCTGTATGGGTTCCAGTGTAGGGTGCTAGGTCTGGGAATGTGCAGTCATAGAGGGTTTTATTTCTGTATTGAAGCAGCTTCTCTTGGGATATTTGGGTATCACATTTCATGATATGATCTACTTCTCCGGTGGAGTGTCCTTGTTTGGTAAAGGCAGTTTTAAGTTTGTTAAGGTATATATCCCGGATTTTCTCCTTGGAGCATATTCTGTGGTATCTGAGTGCTTAGGAGTGAGGACTGGGCCGGGCACAAAAACAAGATGATCTGTACTGACTCCCAGGACTCCTAAAATAATCTGCAATTGCACTATGAGCTCTGGAGTATAGTTTTGGTTTTATAAGACCTAAATGAAAAAAGATATGAGTACCAAACACGTATGTGTAGAGCCTCTTTCCCCCCACCCCCTTTTCCTGTTTTACCAGCAGCAGGAACAAATTACCCACATATTACTGTATGCTGTGCTAATTATTAGATCAGGCAGTTCATGAGGTCAGTTGTTCCTCATGGTTTTCTCGCAGGACTCTGCCAGTCCTATTTTGCTTTTCAGGTTACCATTAGGTCCACCCCAATTCCCGAACCGGCCTTTGAAGAGCATTCCCTTGTAATATCTAGTCCCTGTCTCTGGCCATTCAAAGGAATAACCCAGTAAGCTGCCTCCTAATGAGACAGAATACACACAGCTGGAAGATTACAACTCAGGTTTCACACATTTGCTTAATCGCAAAGCACTGAGATGTATTTATCATAACATGAGAATAAGTTTATTAACAAAGATAGAGATTTAAGCAGTGCTTAATTTGTAATGAAAGAAGTGCTGGAGCTCAAGCAATTTTTTTACTTTCATAACTGACACGACAAACCCAGAGGTACACAGTTATTAACTGTCGAGCCTAGAGGTGCCAGGGCTCAGCCCTGGCAAGCTCTGACACAAATTAAGCACTGCATTTAAGTAAGGGTAATGGAAACAGAATTGGGTACAAATAAAACAAAAGTATAATGCACTTTCTAGAAACTACATCTTAACAGTCCACAATTCTTGACTAAAGCTGTTTTGCACCCTCAGCCTTTCTACAGAACTTGCTGGTTTTCAGTCAAACCCACAACCAAATTATCAAAAACCCTCCTCCTCCTCCTCCTCCTCCTCCAAGAGTGTTCTTCGGTAAATTGAATAACAGGGTGTTGTCCTTACATGTTCTGTTATAGTTCAGTAAACCTTTGAAATGTGTTCCAGCTGGTTGTTCTCCAGTGTGCTTTGTCATGTTGCCCTCTCATCCCCAAGTTAACTTGTTTTTCCTGTTTACGTCACCTGTAAATGTAGCTCCCAGTGTGTTTGGATCACAATGCTTAATTTACATATGGGAGTGATAACTACCTTCCCTCCAGTCTGGAAGAAATATGTTTCTCCCTTGGATATGTATTTGAAAGCATAATATCAGTAGAAAATACATAATTCCTCATATAGTGTCAATGCACACGTTTCACTAGGACAGTGGTTCCCAAACTTCTTCCGCCGCTTGTGCAGGGAAAGCCCCTGGCAGGCCGGGCTGGTTTGTTTACCTGGAGCAGTGAACTGCGGCCACTGGGAGCCGCGATCGGCCGAACCTGCGGATGTGGCAGGTAGGTAAACTGGCTGGGCCCGCCAGGGGCTTTCCCTGCACAAGCGGCAGAACAAGTTTGGGAACCACTGCACTATGATATTAATGACAGTGTGTCTCACCACCTTTCATGTGATACCTTACAAGACACTTGCAGGATAAATACTATAAATAGTGTTAGAAGTAGTGAGTTTGTCAGGCCTGTTAGGAGTTGCTGGCACAGAGTTTGCTGAACCCTTTGCCAGCTGGCACCAATGGCTGTATCACAGAGCTCCACCAAGGTCTCTTTTGAGAAGGAGGGGGAGGGGAGGTCAAAGTAGAGGAGGACTCTAGCTCATTAGAAAGCCTGGTAGAGAGTTATACTTTTAAGGATATAGTCTCATCACACGGTGCAGTGAATTAAGATTAGAAATCTCTGTACAGCAGAACAAGAATATACCTCATGGTACTATGAGTCCGACTCTGGATGCAGTGATTAGAGCTGGTTTTGAAATTTTCAACATTTTTAGAGAAAAACTTAAGGTTTTTTTTAGCCCATTTATGACCAGCCGTATCAGTAGTGACTGACCAAGGATCGTTTGAATGCTTCTGCACGGAGTACAGAATGGGAGTTAGCCAATCTAAGTTTCTCATAGGCAGTCCAAATGCCTATCCTTCTGGCTATGGAATGTGGCTGTTAAAATGACCTGCCATTTCATATCAAATGCAGAGTATGACTTACTCAGACTGCATTTCATAATTAGATCTTCCCATCCTGGGACATAACCTTGGGGTAAGGGAAAGGTATTCTGGGTTCATGGTGCATTCCCTTCTTTGTGGGAGATTGCAAAAGACCAGCAGCAATTCCTGTATGCCAGGCCACCTCGTGCTCACTGTTGATTCTGAGTCATCTCTGGCCATGCAGTTGGAATTCCAAGGTTTCCTGTCTTACAATATTACCATTTATTCAGTTGCAGACTATATTAAATTGCAGTTTGCTCTGTATTTCAATACCTTGCTATAAAATGGCCCTTGTTTGGACCATCACTATTAAGTGTCCCCTTTTAAAAACATCCAAAATATGTTACAAAAAATTGGTCTGATGTACACCATTCTAAAGAAAGATCTGCCTCTCTTTAGAACCTTTCCTGGCCTCTGGGCTGAAAAAAACACAAAATAAAGTATTAACAAAAACACAGTTGACTGCCAAAGGAAATGAGTTCCTGTAAGGACTGAAACAATAAGTCTCCTCTGTATTGAACTCTCGGAGGGAATATGCTGCGTTTCCTCCTGTTCTTTATCAAAGTCCCCAAAATAAGCTGGAATGGGCAATGACTTTGCACAGTCTCTGCACACTTTTTCCACTTACTAATTAGGGCCTGCCTCACAGAGAGAGAAAACACGCTGCCTGGCTCTGCAAGGGAATGCCCATGCTACAGATTACAAGTATGAAGCTGCTTGGAGCTGCCCTCCTCTCCCTGGCCGTGTTCAGCATCTGCACTGCAAATGGTAAGAGTGCACTGTTCTCTGTCACTCTTCTGACTTTCTTGGTAAGCAGCTAAGTGCGCCTGGGCACCGTATATGGGTTTCTGCTAGGCTTCACCTAACTGTACTATAGCAGCTCAGTCGTTCATTCCCACATGTATGGGCTGAGTAACTGCATTTGGAGGAATGCAAGGAGGGCATTGGTTTTTAATCGAATTAAATGTCTATAGTGAAATAGCCTACTGACCGATCAGTTTCTGTGGCCTATCTCTGTCCAGCTGTCATGAGCCTCCCAAACCTGAGGGATTAAAAGCACCCAGCAACTGGGAAAAGCCATTTACTCAAAAAATGTTTTCCCTCTTCTCCTGTGAAAAAATATATTTTTGGGGACTTTTAAAAGGATTTGAAATGTTTGTCAGATTTGAAAATACCATTTAACACACTGGGGAACTTAAAGTGTGTCCGAGTGTAACCCTGCTGACTTCACTGCAATTACACTAGCAATGAATTTGGCCAAGTCTGCTTATCAGAAGCCAGTGTATGTTGATCACAAATACATGTAGACTTGTAACATTCCTCCAGTGTAATCCCACAATGCCCAGGGCAGTAGTGTTTTAGTTCTGCAATGTGAAAAAGTTACTCCTGTCTCCAAATACTTGATGATACTAGGTGACATAATGGACATTGACCTGCTTTTTCTAATGTTTTTCTGCATAAAAGTTTGTGTACTTTCAAAGCAGAATAAATTACATTTCATTAGCGTGGGAAGCAACTACAACTTAAACTATCATCTCATCATCTTTATCAAGGATTAATTTGAAAACAAAGCTGATTTTCTCTCTCCAATTTTTTGGCCCATTATGCAGCAGATCTGTAGTCATAGCTTTTACAGATGTCATTAGAGCAGATGGCTTTCAGTGACTGGCTACTAACCAGTGAATAGAAACTCTGTTATTAATGGATTAAGTAATTGCAGGCCACTGTGTCCTCAAACTTTTACTTGGGTTACATGTTAGAAATTGATGCACAAATAAACAAGTGTGTCTTGTGTGGTGTAACTTGTGTTGTTATTCTGGCTCATTGCTGTTAAAAACGTGATGGAGATTGACAGGTAATATTGTTGCTACAGGAAAATTTGCTTTTCAAACCCTGCCAGGTCAGTATGAACTCTGTAAGTACGTGTTTGGGCTGCTATTTATGCTCTCTCTGCTGGGGTTAGAATGAGCAGCCTTCCTGCCATTGTTAAACCTTGACTTCATTGCAGGTCTTTTGAAAAGCAAGGTGGGATTAGTTCAGTAGGAGCAGGCTCAGCAGTGCTGTTTGTAAAAGCTTATTAGAAAGCAACATGCACAGGTTAAAGGGGATGCAAAGGAGAGCTACGATTTCTGTCAAATGCATTTCCTAACACCTCTCCTGTCGCTGAATGGGAATGATTGGGTAGTGCTCATCACGCTGAATTAGCCAATATCATCAAGTAATGGTCATTTGCTTGTAACTATTTTATTCTGTTATAAAAATCTTAAACTCAAAACAGACATGCTGAAACTCCACTGGTAAAATAATAGGAAAAAAAGGAAGACCATGGGTGGAAAAATACAAAGCATATGTCTCCATCTCTACCATACAAATGAAACGTGAGTGGAGCTGGAAAACTTCATAAATTGATAATCTGTGGAGGACAGAAAGGAATCCCCTCATGTTTGACACAATCCTATTGAAAGGGACACTGTTAACTTGAAATCTGACCAGTTTCAAAAAATGAGATGAGCAAATTCAGGTACAACACTTCCTACTGAATTCCCCTGCTAGTTTCTGTTATTTTATAATCCCACTTTCCTATTTTTTAAAAATATTTTTTCTCCTATTGCCGTGTGAAAGACCCACCCAGAGACTATATGGGGAGAGTGAAACTGTTATACGCACAAAGTTCTGTCAAATGCTCAAAGTGAACAGACTGAGAAAACTGAGGGTTATTTTTCCTTTAATTTAATTTGATTAGGTGTTCCTTGTCGCAACAGCAGGTAAAAAATGTCGGGCAGTAACTGTGATTTAAGTTGACAGTGTCCCTTTAAGTAAAATGCAATTAAGGCAACCTCACTTTTTTTTTAAAGTCAGTCGACATATGTTCCCCATCTTAGGGACCTAGTAAGTGGCCCTCTCAAAGCTAACTGGCTGCTCCTCTAGTCTCTGAGAGTATGCTTTCATTGCAGCTAGCAGTGACCTGGGTGGAAAGACTCATGGTGGTGGGGCTCATGCTAGAGTGGGAAGTTGCAGCTCTGGCAGAAATTCTGACTAGCCACTCAAGCTCAGATCCAGGGCCCTGAGTTGCAACCCCACACTGCTGGTTTTAGCAAGCTAGCTCCACCTCCGCTATCTTGAGTGTCTGCCAAGGGTAGGAGTGTTCCATTCAGCTGCACTTTAGACATACCCTGAAGACTTCCAATGGTCTCCCCTTCTCATATCTTCAGATAATGTGTGGCCTTTCACAATTGTCTGGGAGCATTATAGGGTGTGTGGGGAGGACATACATCACCCTCTGAAGCATCAGGTATTGACTACCAATGGAGGCAGGAAATGACAGAGCCGCTTTTTGCATCTCCCTATCTTAATGTGTGTTGCGTGCCTTCAAATGCATCTCAAAACTATGCAGTCCTGTGTGCATCCCTTTTTGTGCAATGGATTGTAAATATTCCCACATTCTGGCAAAAGACTTCGTCCCACTTAATAGGAGGCACTGTCATATTTTAGAATTATATTTAGTTGAAATTGTAGATTCAGCCAAACCATAGCCTGGAGGTGAACACTCCCATCCCAACACTATCGAGAAGTTTGGAACTGATCCAAATTGTGCATTTTGGGCTCAACACTCATTGAAATGTTTGCGATTTGTGGATTTGTCTGGAACCTCTCCACACACATACACACATACAGATGCAACTATTATGATCTGCAGTGTTTTCGAATGTTCTCCCCAAAAGGACATATAGTTGTCATCTTCCTTAGCCTGCAGGGATTAACTGCAGCTTGATGAATACTGGACTCAGCCTCCTGCAAGAAACAAATACAAAGAGAGAGAGAAGTTGGCAGCCCTCACAGGACTGGAAAATTTTAGGATCTAAATTCAGTCTGTGAGCTAGCAATATTTTCCTAAAATTTTTCCAATAGAGTTTTGATATGAAATTCTTTGGACTCTCATGCACAAGCGTATTATTGGAGGCTGGATGAATCTAGAAATGTTCAGGATCCATTGATAGCAAAATAAAAGCCCCAGAACCTTCCTGACAACTCAACTCTAGTCTAAAGGCTTCTCTGAATCCCAAACTTCATAGTGGACTTGGGAATTCCTTGACTCTAGAATTAAAGTGCTCTCGCCTAACCACATTTCCCGCTATCCCCGTCTGCACCAAAATATACATATACCTTAGCACAGAAATGCTTCCTGGGCTGATTCATCATGCTTCCAACTACCTATTACCTGGGGAAAAGAGCTAACAGGGAGGGAGGGACAGCTGGGAGAGAAACTGAGCCAAAGAGCTGTGAGCTATGGGATCATAGAAGATTAGGGTTGGAAGAGACCTCAGGAGGCCATCTAGTCCAACCCTCTGCTCAAAGCAGGACCAACACCAACTAAATCATCTCAGCCAGGGCTTTGTCAAGCCGGGCCTCAAAAGCCTCTAAGGATGGAGATTCCACCGCTCCCTACATAACCCATTCCAGTGCTTCACCACCTTCCTAGTGAAATAGTATTTCCTAGTAGCCAACCTAGACCTCCCCCACTGCAACTTGAGACCATTGCTCCTTGTTCTGTCATCTGCCACCACTGAGAACAGCTGAGCTCCATCCTCTTTGGAACCCCCATTCAGGTAGTTGAAGGCTGCTATCAAATCCCCCCTCACTCTTCTCTTCTGCAAACTAAATAAGCCCAGTTCCCTCAGCCTCTCCTCGTAAATCATGTGCCCCAGCCCCCTAATCATTTTTGTTGCCCTCCACTGGACTCTTTCCAATTTGTCCACATCCTTTCTGTAGTGGGGGCCCCAAAACTGGATGCAATACTCCAGATGTTGCCTCACCCGTGCCGAATAGAGGGGAATAATCACTTCCCTCGATCTCCTGGCAATGCTCCTACTAATGCAGCCCAATATGCCGTTAGCCTTCTTGGCAACAAGGGCACACTCTTGACTCATATCCAGCTTCTCATCCATTAGACTCCCCAGGTCCTTTTCTGCAGAACTGCTGCTTAGCCACTTGGTCCCCAGCCTGTAGCAGTGCATGGGACTCTTCTGTCCTAAGTGCAGGACTCTGCACTTGTCCTTGTTGAACCTCATCAGATTTCTTTTAGCCCAAACCTCTAATTTGTCTGGGTCACTCTGGACCCTATCCCTACTCTCCAGCATATCTACCTCTCCCCCCAGCTTAGTGTCAAACTTGCTGAGGGTGCAGTCTATCCCATCATCCAGATCATTAATGAAGATGTTGAACAAAACCAGCCCCAGGACAGACCACTGGGACACTCCACTTGATACCAGCTGCCAACTAGACATCAAGCTGCTGATCACTACCTGTTGAGTTCGACAATCTAGCCAGCTTTCTATCCACCTTATAGTCCATTCATCCAATCCATACTTTTTTTTAACTTTCTGGCAAGAATACTGTGGGAGACCGTATCAAAAGCTTTGCTGAAGTCAAGATATATCACGTCCACTGCTTTCCCCATATCCACAGAGCCAGTTATCTCATCATAGAAGGCAATCAGGTTGGTCAGGCATGACTTGCTCTTAGTGAATCCATGTTGACTGATCCTGATCATCTTCCTCTCCTCCAACTGCTTCAAAATGGATTCCTTGAGGACCTGCTTCATGATTTTTCCAGGGACTGAGGTGAGGCTGTCGTCTGTAGTTCCCTGGATTCTCCTTCTTCCCTTTTTTAAAGATGGGCACTATATTTGCCTTTTTCCAATTGTCCGGGACCTCCCACAATCACCACAAGTTTTAAAAGATAATGGCCAATGGCTCTGCAATCACATC